AAACAAAGTGCTGGCCATTTTGGGCTCCCACATATTGGGGCGCAAAAGGCTCGCTTGCTCAGCTGAGCATCTGCCTGCTTTGGTGCCAACATGCGGTCAGCCTGTGCAACGATGGTTGTTTTCTTGAGTCTGTCAACATGTTTGCAGTCAGCATGCTAGCAGCATGACACTTCAGTATCACCAAGGCTTTAAATGTGTGAATGAGGTCGGATAAGAAAACACGCCTACCCAAACACATGCGAGAGCTTTGGAGTGTAGCCGCATGAAACAGAGGGGATCCTCCAAATTGAAACATGCTTGCCCTGACAAGGGAACCACCTCTGATAAACCCGGAGAGATTTTGCACTCCTAACCGAACATCGAAGAGGTCCTTGCATGTCTTGTTGACAACAACAGCCCGCCAAACGAGAGCTCATTTTCAAAATAGCCGAACACATCGTTTGAACCCACCCAAAAATGGAAATCTGCGCTGGTCCCACAAGAGTACCGTGAAAAACACGCACACTCTCATCAGGGTCATACTCATGATTCCCTTAGGAAGCCTTCAAATTGGTTGCCTCAAATCTAGTCCAGAAATGAAACAAACACCCTTTTGCTGGTTGCCAGCCCAAACCAAAAAAAGAAGAAAACACACACACACACACACACACACACACACACACACTCACTCACACACACACACAACTGCGTGCGAACGATTTCGGGAGGCCAAGGCACATCTCTTCCTCCTCGCGCCGTTTCCTGGCAAATGCCACTGCCTTCCACTGGAGCGTTGAGCTTCCGGGCTTCGTGGGACCCTGTGTTTTTGTTTGTTTCGTGGGCCCTTGAAGGTTTCTTTGCTGCCCTCATTTGCTGGTGTGGATAGGCGGGAACTGGGGACTTGAGAACCAACTAGAGGGAAGCTGAACGAATGTTCAGGAAGAAACAACGAAACGAAACTGAATTTCCTTGAACTCTCACCACAAAAAACAGGGCGACACTTGATTTTTTCCGCGCAAAAGTTGCACTTGTCTGGTGAGTTGCAAGCAATATTGCCACTTTTGGATCCACAAAGAGGGACATTGAGGGACCCCTGAAAAAGAGGGCCTCAAAAAATACACGCCGTACAGACCTGTGCCTCGTTGCTGTACGCATCCGAGAAGGAGCTTCACCCAACCCCCGCCTCTCCATCTCGATCTGCGCCCTGCGCTTGTCCGCGGCATCCTGGCAACAAGGACTCGTGTGTCTCAAAATAGGGGTACCGTCAGAATGCCGCTTTCCTTTGGCCTCCCTTTAGAAACCACCCTAAGGCGGCCCTCGAAGAGACACAACCTTGTGTTCAATGGTGGAGAATGAGAAATATGCTTTTGTTTCCCTTGGCTATCCCCACTAAGATGGCTTCTGTTGGGCAAGGACGCTGTTTGTGCCAAGGTGGAATTCGGTAAGGACAAATGACATGTGTGGGTTCCCAGGCTTCAATCCCCACTAGAAGAATTGCGGTCCAGGACCCCATTTGGAAACTCCTGAAACCTTTGGTGGTTGCATGGGTCTGTCTTTTTGTTGAGGAGCCCCTGTTTTTGTGATCTTGAACGTGAAGCCAAAGGAAAACCATTAAGCCATGTTGGGGTTTCGATTCTCATTTTAAGACACACCCACATGAACCCCTCTTTTTTCTTCAGAGACGTTGGATTCCCGGGGTTCTCTTTGAAGGGCAAGATGAATTCACCTGTGGATTCCTCTGCTAAACGAGCGCTGAAGGAGCGCAGCAATTGGCACGATCGATCCGCACGTGGGGCATCTTAAATGTTTCTTGGATCTTGGCTCAAATGAAAAAGCGCTAAGAAAGCATACATCAACGGATCTAGATCTAGGTCTTTAACAGGACATATATCTTTGTGCCGCAACCAGCGCCTCTTGCTCCTTCTCCTTTTCCTCGCCGACGTCCTCTCCGTCTCCTTGCCTCACGGGAGATCGCTGGAGTGCCGATTTGCTTCGACCCGCTCCAACTAAGGGGAAGCAAAAGCTGGGTTCAAAGTCAGCTAACCCACCAAGGGGCTTGGTTTCGTTTCGGTTACCTTGCAAACACCACCGAAAGGAAGGGGGGGCCTAGAAAAAGAGAGAGGAGACACGCAACCAAATGGAGGTTGGTTCAGTCACGGGTTAGTTTAGCATGCTTAGCCATGGCTTCAGGGCTTGCACTGGGCGCCTTCGTGGCCAAAGCATCCGTCTGATTTTCAGCAATAACGCTGAGTCCCGGGTTGATCAACTCAACAAATCTATATATTTCGCTTATCTCTTTCTAGACCAGTTGGAGATGTGATTTTCTCAACATCTCCAAGATATTGCGCAAATCACATCCTGTGGAAAGGTTCCCGGATCATTCGTGCCGCTCGCTTTTTGCCCAACATGTCGGTTCCTATCGTGCACCATGGCACAAAAAGCGCCACCCGTGATTCTCAGGAGGGTGGGACCACATGTATATAATGAGGAATCCCTTGACAGCGTGTATGAAACATAATTTGCCCCACCCTGGTTCTTGGGCATTACAAAAGGAGGTAAGCAGAGTCTTGATATGTCCCTTTTAAACATCCCAAAAGGGAAATCAACTTTCCAATGATACGAAAATGTTCGAAGCAAAAACGGGAAATCAGATATTGGAAGTTCGGCGTTCGGTCAGTCACCGGCTAGCGGCTAGCCTCTGCTTCTGTGCCTCCGCAACCTCGGCCAACGGTTTCGGGGCGAAACCTCAAGATGGGCTTCGGTCTAAAGGATACGGTGGATGGTTGCGAACTCCATTTCGCGCCTTTCAGAAACCCCGGAATGATTCGATTCGCAAGGTAAACACTAACAATGGTTTCAAGCATGGTTTCAAAGTGCTAGGATTTCGTCCATCCATGGGATCATAAAAAACCATGGCAACTTTGGGTGTCCCTAGATGGGTGTGGTTGACCAAAAATAAAATTGGTAACCCCAAAATGGAACTTGCCCTAAATTAAATGGAAGTATGGAGAGAAAACCCTGCGGTTTTCTGGTTGTTGAATTCTGACCCATACCCACTCGTTTGCTTGCTTTTGAGTTGCCCCACTTGGGCGCTTTAAAGGGACGCCCAGAGGCACTGAAGGCACTGAATGTCGCCACGGGCTCCAAATGGAAAACCCTTGCATCTGGGAACCTGACACTTGGTTGGTCCAGCGCGTGCTTTCTCATGTGTCCAGGTGCTACAAGCTTTGAATTGAGTTCAAGAAGTAGATGTAAGCCCGCTGCCCTGAGAGCCCGTTGCCCTGATCGGAGAGATTGCCATTGGAGGATCCCAACAAACGTTTTGCAAAAGTCAATCCTCTCCTCGCCAAGACGTTGAACCACGGTCAAGGGAAATGTAAAGCGGCGACGCCCACATCATACCCTGAGGCTTCGGGTATGAAAGGCTGACGAGACGTACTTGTCCAAGAGCTAGCCCAAAAACTCCATGGAAACTGGCCCTCCCAACTGGCGAGAGTTGGCATGCAAAGACATCGTCTGGTGAGGATGATCTGAAACAACGGAATTCAGGCAGACTTTCTGGTGGTGATCTCAGGCAAATTGCTTGATGTGTCATCTGAAAAAAGGAATTCTGATCTAACGTGATAAGCTCTTCCTTCATGAGACTAGGCCACACGACAGCTCGCATGACTCAATGTGGGCCATAAAACTTGTTGGAACCCGCCAAATAGCTGGCGGCTCCTTTTGTTTGCAGAAACTATGCTGGAGAGCCTTTTGGTTCCTTGCATGTGCCCCAATTTGGGCAAGCAGGAATCTCCATGAACAAATGGCAAGCAGTTGGAGAATCGAAAGCTCCCAACATCACACACACACTCACACCACGCAAACGGCACACAAGCGTACGCATTCAACGCCCAGCCACTTGACATACAGCCCCGCTGTGCGCGCCATGTCGGCCAGCAACTCATGAAGTGCTTATCGATCTATCATTTGTCTAGCTATCTCTCTGTCTTCTATCTATATTTCTATTTATCTAATCTGAGAATCTGGCTATATAGCTATCGAGCAATCGAGCTATCTAGTTCTCTGTCTATGTCTATGTATGCGTGAATCTATTTGTCCCTCTCTCTCTCTGTCTATCTATCTATCTATCGATCTATCTAATCTACCCATCTATATATCCGCAACACTGGAGTTCCTTCCAAACTTCCTCTGAGAATACCGATCTCCATTTCTGGACCTCCAACCCCGTCCTTCCTCCCCCACCCGACCTCCTGTCGCCAGGAGTAGCCCTGCTTCCGGGCCAGCAGGCGCTCGCGGCGCTTGGCCTCGGGATGACGCTGGAGTCTGGGTGTTGGTAGGAAAGAAACGGAAGGTTGGATTCCCGAAAAGGAACCCACCAGCAAAACAAAGTCTATCTCGGAATCCGGAATGATCATTCCCTTTCTCATTCCCTGGCCATCGCAGCAAGGAACACGGTGTTTGCTCGCTCGCTCGCTCGCTTGCTTGCTTGTCTGGCTGGTTGGTTGGTTGGTGGATTGTTGTTTGAGGGCAGCCTTTTCTAGCTTGGCTTACAAGACGGAAACCAAGAAAAGCGCCACCGCTTCTTTTGGGGGGCGGGTCATACTATGCCCAGGTGTCAGGGTCGCCCGCCTGAAGGGTTGGGATGAACCAAAAGTGGCGGTTAAAACAAAAGGAATCCGGTTGAACATCTTCCCAGATTCAGTATCTTGAAGCAACCCGGGTTGGTTTGTCGCCAAGGGGGAAACCCTTGGAAAAATGGGGGGGAGGTGGAGGGGGGAGGGGGGGCAAAGCACGCATCTTTTGTTTCGCTTCAACCCAAAAAAGGGTGGGCTCATAAAAGGGCATGCTCCTGGCTCTGTTTGTACCACCTTTCAAACATATCTGATCTGCTCATCTGACCTTCCGGGCTTCGGGAATGAACCGGAGGATTCCCATAAAGGAAACCATAGGGCATGGTCAGAGGTCATTCCAACTCATTCCCTGAGGACTAGCAAATGGGGGATAGCATGTCAGAAGGAACCCCTTCAGGTCCCGTGTGACGAGCCAAGCTGCTCCGAAGACTCCCCGGTAGCTTCCCAGTAAGCTGTTCCGGGGCTGGGGGGGTTCTCACAAACTTACCCTCAAGAACCAGCGGTTCAAGTCCCCAGTTACCAATCCCAACCAGCCAGTACAGGTTGCCTGAGGGGAACGAAAGGAAACAACATCCATTGACCAATTATGTTTTTCTTTTCAGGGTACCCTTTCTTGGTGGTTATATATATATATATATACACATATAATCAAAAAAAAAAGTCGCCCCATGTTCGGGGGACCCGCCCCGATTCCTGAGAAAGACGAGCCACCCCTTAGGCCCAAGGTCACCTCACAAGTCCAAGACACCTGAAAACATCAAATCACAGCGTCTCAAATCCGGAAGACCCCCCACAGCCGAACATGAGCAGGTACAACATGAGTGGGTGGGTAAAATTGGGGACACCCAAAAAGATGGGGGTTCCTTTGGGTGTTCCTTTACGACACCCAAAACGGGTACCATGCTGGTTGCCTTCCTGGGGCGCAGCTGAAAACTTTGACACAAGAAGCCTCATTCCAGGCGATCGAATCAGGAGAAGGATGGGCAGATCCGGCCTCCTCCTCCTTCTTCTGCTCCACCCTGCCAACATTGGACGAACAGGGGAGAAACAAAAAAACTCCCTGGAAGCCCGGAAGATCTGCCATCGGACCGTGCAGGATGCACTGAGCATTCAACATGGCGTTGGATCGATGGTGAGGATAGAGTGGGTTGGGCTTGGAGACGGCTCGGGGTTGACTTAGATGAGTTTCAGTCTGCTACTCGTCCTCCTGAGCTCATCTTGCTGGGATGAAAGCGTCGCCTGAGTGCCTCAAAATCAACAGATAGGGTGACGCAGGTGTTGGTCGTTCTTTCCTTTACCAGGGTGCCATTTTGGGGAATCCATTTTTGAGCCACGCGAAAACCCAGCCTGCAAGGCTTCCATACCGAAACGCCCACCGAAGCTCCGGATTTTTCCCGGCCCGGCCTCACTCGTGCCAACTCTCTCCGCTGCAGTTCTTGATCTGAGTGCCGGCACTGTCTGGACACATGCCAAGTGCCCTCAAAATGGGTGTGTGTGTGTGTGGTGTCCTCTTGGTTTTCCTCTCAAACTACACACACACACACACATTGCCAACAGCCACCCTTGCTTGGTTTGGACCGGCAGTGACTTGATCCAAATCTTTGTCATTTACTGGTGGGCAGAGCAACTTGCCCAAAGATCCGATTTGCTGTCTTGTCAATTCTCCCAAAGCGGTCCAGTTCCATGTGTCGAGCCCACCCCCACAAATATACCTGCCACTGACCGTGGAAACCAGCAACATGCTTCCCTACAAATTGACATGGAGCCCAAAAGGAGCGCCCTCAAAAGGAGCTTCCTCTACAAATGGCTGCTTTTTGAGTTCCATGTGAATTTGTAGGGCAGTAAACTTCTGCAAGAAACCAAGGAGTGGAAATAAGGCGAATCCACAAAAAACTCGCCAGGGATGGATGAAACCTGACTTGTATGCTGGTCCAGTTTCGGTGGGTTGGCGGTTTGGTGGTTAAGGCATGAACCAGGGCTTCTAATCCCCACACCAATCCAATCCACCAATTTAGGGTCACCCGACTGGTTGATGAACCACGGAGAGAGTCAGGACAAGTCGAGCGCTCTGAGCATCCTGCGTCTGCGCTGCTCCTCCCGGGCCCTCGACTCTGCCTCGTCTTGCCTGGCCGTTGGTCCCGTTGCCACAAGCTAGCGCCAAGCACAGAGTCCCCGGCCATATGAACAACAAGGGATCCCTTTAAAGAACCAAACTGGTGAATACTTATGGCAAATGGCATTTGGTGAGGTTTCACCCCCATTTCCTAATGGATATTGAAGGCACATGTCATCCCCTTTACCGTAGATGACAGTAAACATATGGAATGGTCTTCCAAAAGCCTTCGGTCCGTCTCCGTGCCAGTGGATGGGAGGGTTGGGGTATCTTTGCGGCTGGATTTCCGTCAAAACTTCACTTGTGGGTTCTATTGACATGATCGCCATTTTGCAACTCCTGTTTTAGGTCCGAAGCCGTCAATCAAATCGAAGGCATCTGATGGCCAAGTCTCATGTCGTGGTTGAACACCCACAGCACGCAGCCCGGCTCTTTCTTACTGTCGAACGCGCATTGCTCAAATCAAACCTTGACAGATCCGGATGCTGTGGGTCGCATTGCGATAGCACGATCGATGGGCTGGTTCTATTGGTGATGCACAAAGATGTGAAACTGCAGACCGCACAGCTTTCAAACTCCGGCAACTCTTGAGTGAGATGAACCGATATGATGGGTTGATACGCTACGCTGATCAAGTAATCCGCACGTCTGCCTCAGACGTCAAAAAGCTTGTCCATCATGCTGCCTGCACAGGTTGGCAGTTGGGACACTTTCAGGCCCCGCATGAATTCTCCAAACTCTCTTTCCAATGGGCCAGGCAGACCGCATCGTCCC